TAGGCTATTTTAAAACTACCGCTGGATAATTAAATTGTGCTCTGGCATTGTTAGCCCTGGATTGCACACCTTTGGCTGAAAGACTGGGGTCCAGAGAGGTGCCTTAGAACACCCATCTTCAAAAAAAACCCCACTAGATATTGTACAGAATGCAACTGTAGCCTGACTGCAAGGGGTCACCATGAGTTGGAGTTGGCTTGATAGCAACTGATAGTGTTTGGACATTAAGAGCTATTAGTGTATAAGTGAGCTTAATGGTAAAGAACTGAATGGCCAAGGGAAAAGTATGCAGTTCAAATGCACTTGCTGTTTCAAAGATGGTTGATCTCCTCCCATGTGATTTACTGCCCCTTTTTACTTGAGAGTCAGTGCTGGGTCAGTTCTGACTCAATGGTACACAACATCACCACTGTTACCAGGGAACTCTGATGGCCTAACCCATAGGGAGCTGCACTGATAACTCAAAGGCCATGACTGTTGAGCAATTTGGATTCACCAGTGGGTCCACATGACAAAGTCAGGCAATCTCTTCCTGTGTGATTTACAGCCTTGGAAAGAAAACTGGAAGGTCAGCTGAGTTGGTCTTACCAGATAATGAAAAATGTATGAATGCATCATATACTACTGGATCCTACTCCAATAATGGCCCTAAAAAGCAGTGCACAAATGGCTTTTCAGAAGAATCCTGTATTTGTAATTTTCCTCTCTGAAATGCTACTGCCTAGGAAGAGATGAACAAGTCTGAAAAGTTGGATTTAATCACACAAAAAGGAAAACAAAATTCCAAGTTCTTAAGTTGGTTCTTCAGGTTCCAGGAGAAATACACAGATCAAATGTCTATGGGCTATTCTGCCCTGATTTTTTATGAAACAACTTCTGTAACAAATCCTAGATTATCACCTGACATTCTGCATGCAGGCAGTTCCTTCTGTACAAAATTCATTTTAATAAACTGCAAAGTGGTTGGGAAACACTTAGCAAATTGTTAAGCTACATGACATATAAGGCTGTGCTCACACCTAGCCCCCTCAGGCAAAAGATGAGCGTCTCCTCCCTGAAGATTTACTATGAGGTTCAAGAACCTCAACAGCAGTTGTCTGGCCTCTCCTACGTGAAAGTCCTCACATCAGAAAAACCCTATGTGGCAAGACGGAAAGAGCTAATTTTTTAACCATCGTTGGCTATTAATATTTAGGGTCGATACAGCACTCTAACAGCAATGGTGACAGATCCACTTTGGTATGAATTGTCATGCAGAGATCAAAATAAAAAGAGGTGTAATACTGTTCAAGTGTCAAAATTAAATTCTGAGTCCCAGATAAAGATACTGAGTAATCTTGGGTTTGTTGAGCTTTTCCTTTTTTTGTAAAACAGAGCAATTTCTATTACATTTGTTAGAGGGCTGTGTAAGTCAAAGCACACAGAAGAGGAAGTGAAAAACAGAATGATAGATCCAAAATAATAATAATAAAATCTTAGAAACTAAACTAGGATAAAGTATCAATGATGAATTTTCTCTTACTTTGTAGCCTCTTTTTAAAAATAATCTTCCCTCTACAGTTCTAAAAGTGTAATAGATTATGAAGGAGGAGTTCTGTGGCTAACTGAAAATGAAAGTATTTTTTAAATGGCATTCAAAGCATCTCATATATTACTGTTGTTACAACACAAATGGAACTCTAAATCCAGTATCTGAAACACAAACATTGGAAAGCCTTTAGAAAATGCTCTGCAGGCTACAGTAACCAAGTTAATTTTAAGGGATGGCTTCATTCACATCATAGCTGCCTACAAAGCAACAAAACCAAACCAAAACTTGACATCTCATATCCTAAGTAGGAACAGTGAATAAGGCACATGAACAGGTGGTTCAGGCCACCAATGTTTGTTCGTTTGTTTTTTTTAAAAGAAACCTCTAAAAATAAACATAAGTTACTAATGGAATAACAAAATAAAAGTTTATTTTATTAGAATTAGGAATGTTCTTTCCCTCTGGGCAACCTGAACAGTCCAGTTACAATGAAAATCTAAGAACAGTTATTTCTACAGCACAGGGTGCTCTATGCACAAAAATTACAGGGTTAGGAGCATTTAATCAATTTACCGATCTGATTGTCTCACCAACCCACCCCCTCCCTTCCCCAAGTGCTCTATACTGAAATTTATAGCTAGAAGAATCTGTTACATCAAGTCCTCTTGTATTAAGTTTCAGTTCCTAACCACTGGCTGAATCACATTTTATATTGAATCCAACCATTTCAATCAAGTCAGTCAGCTTTGGATCTGTTTGTATATGTATTGTATGTATACAAATGTGTATTTAGTATTTAAACACACATAAAATACATACAAACTGGGTCACAGAAAATTACACAGAATTTAGAGTCTGATATTATATGCTAATGAATTAACCACTGTGGTTTGTGTCCTGAGCTTCGGATCAGAATTTTATTGTGTATCATGAAAAGTCCATTTAACGCTTAGTGAATTTTTCAAATGAAACATGCACTTTTCAAAAGATAGTAACTGCTCTCAAGAACACAGGAGACCCTGATGCTTGTTGTGAATAAAGCCCTCTGATAGCAAGACTTAGGTAGGTGAAATAGGAAAGCTGTCATACAATATGGCTTGCCTATCCCAGTATGGAGCACAAAAGCAACTAACAATGAAAGCAGCTAACTCAGGAATTTCTGTTAAATATGGAGATAAGCTGGTAAAAGCCTAGGAGTTCACCTTCATCCGTACAAATTAGGTAATGTACCCACAATTGCAGTATCCTCAGGTAGTAAGTATGTCAACACTGGAACTAGAAAGCATCTCTTAAAAAAGCATGGTTCCTCCTTGAGAGCTGAGATCAAGTGCACAAACTTTTTTTTTATATATATATTTGGTGCAAGGGGAGCATGTAATGAGGATTAATGACACTCAAAACCTAGATAATACCAGGTTAACGGGTAAGATTTTTAAAAACACAACACATACACAAAACATTTTTAGGGAGCCACATATATCTATATAGCAACTCTGGCTGCTTTTCAAAGTTACCAGGGAAAGGAACTTATTCAAGCTTTCTATTAAAAAAAAAAAAAACCCCAACAAACTGTTTTGATAAGTGTATTTTAGATTGATACAGTCATTTAAAGTAAAATAAAGTCAAATGGATGATGGAGAAAGGGAAGAGGAGAAGAAAATATGGAAGAAGCAGACACTGAGTTCAGATTTGCACCTGAGGTGGCAAGGGATGGGAGGATAAAAGATACAAGTTGATCCTAAAGCGACAAGTAGTTTAAGGAAGCAGCATAATATATTCAGCAAACATTCACTGATTTTTGATGAGAAAATAACAGTTGCAAGTACATCTCATGTAACAACCTTTTCTAAAAGGAAAAGTAGGGTTGATTCAGCAAAGCCTAACTTAGGCAAAAGGCCAGAGGAAAGTGAACCTACTTCCCAATGGAGTAATAAGATGTACAGTGCAAGAGCAGACAGAGCTGCCTCACAATTGGTAAACACTCCCCTAGGCGCAAGACAATTAAGGAAGACAAAGAGGTCCTCAGCCAAAATTGGATTTAATATTTAAAACCTCTCAATCTAGTTGCCTAGTTCACTCGGCACTCCCATATAAAACTGGTAAATTTAGGGATGCTGGCCTGTTGAAAAAATACTACAGCCAGATTGGCCTGAACAGGGTATATAGTTAATAAAACCACCACCATCCTTTACTTTTAACATAGCTTAGTAGAAATTTCATAAAAATGGACATCACAGCTAAAATGCATTATTAATTCTCTTACCCGCTGACAATATAAAAGAAGCAAACGCAGTGATTTCTATTTAAATGCACTAGATAGGAATATCATGTTCTAGGGGTGTTTGCCTTCAAACTGAACCCACAGCAACACACACAGGTAATTTCAGTATCTGCCACTTAAAATTTACAATCGGAGACTAAGTGAATGGCTATTTATATTTAAATCAAAAATATTCTATTTGACACCCTAACATGGAGAAGGGTTAAAACAAGAGCCATAATTAAAATCTTGAAAGGCTCAAAGCAGCAATTTAAGAAAAAAGAAAATTCCAAACGCTTCCTCTGGGATCAGTAGGTTAGGAAGCCTTTAGCTGTGTGTATAACAGGGGCACACAAAGGTTTGGGGAGATGAATGAGGCCATGGAGGGGGAGTAAGGTTGGGGATGGGGTCATCTTGTACTACAGCAACAAAGCTCCCCATTGCAGCCCTTATTAGGCCTTGATAATTAGTTGGAGCTCAGCTTCCTTGTCCTTGATCAAGAGCTGGGAATTCAAGGCATGAGGCCCTTGACCAACAACAGACATACCAAAACCAGAAAAGGCAAAATAACCTCAGGAGCAGGAAAGGGAAATCAAAGAGCTCTAGCTAAGTCTTCCAAAGGTGCTAAGCCAACACACCTGTTATCCCAACCCTGGAAATATAAAGCAAACGGAAAGAAAATGCACAGCAAATAGACATAATCTTGAAGATTTTTAAAGAATAAATATTTTTTTGTAATTAAACATTATGCAAACACGTGCCACGCTTGCTTTGTCCATGCATATGCGCTATATACAATTTTGAAAAATACTGTGTTGTCCTTTTGTTTTAAAAGTCATATACAAAGGTTTTTGTTTTTTATCTTGCTGCCTATCCTTCCCTGCCCCAAGAATTTTCTTTACATGGAGCTAATCATCGTTCACTTATGACTTTGGGGTATGACAAAGAGAGTCAGTCTGTGTGTGTGGGTGTATTTGTATGTGTAAGGGAGGAAGGAGAAGAGATTCTTTACCAAAGTACAACAAAATGGCTGGTTTGGAGATGAAAAGCAGTGTCAAAGAGCTGTTTTAAATTTTAACTGTACTACTCTCAGAAAAAAGAAAAAACAAGTCAGCTTTGAGAATGAAGCTACGTTACAAGTTAAAGTTGGAGGGCTTTTAGTGTGTCTGTCACACTTTTGTTGGCGGCCTAGAATACTGTTGTACAATGGTTTATCTACCTTTTTTTATTACAATATAATTTACTTAAACTTTCCGTTAACAAAACAGAATTCCGGTACTACAGACCATCGGTGTCAGAAGAGGCTTAGTGCCTCCTTTTTGTGTTTGTTTTGTTTTGTTTGCTTTAATTGCATGAGCACTCTAGATGGTAAAGTTTTCAGAGTTCATTTTATGCAGGGCCATTCTCAGTCCTCAATGTACTCCCACAGATCTTTCTCATAGCCTTCATGCACATGCTGTAACAAAACCCTTCGTCGACTCTCACAGTATCTGTAATCAAAGGGAAAACAAAACTTGTCAATCTCCACTAAGAACAGTAGTTTTTTTACGTAATCTCTAAGAATCAAGCACCATTTTTTAAATGGGAACATTTTAAAGTTTACATGTTAGTAGACCCATTAGTTTATTTCTGACATCAAAATAGTACTTTATGTAGAGTCACCATTCTCAGTCTTGAGAGCAGTGTTAAAACTCTGAAGGACATTTGGAAATCATCTGACTGAACCTCATTATTCTACAAATGTGTACACGGTTTCAGAAAGAAGTAATTTCTAGGATTATTTACTCAAGTCTGAAAAATGTTTGTCATTACACAAATCATACAGATAAAATATGAAGTTACAGTTAGCTTAGGAATTAAATATATTATTGCTAAATCTTCAAGTCTTCCAATTTCCCAAAGTTTCTCACTACTATTTTACTTAATTTTTTAAAAGCTATCAGTATTTTCTAGGAAATCCTTAGGGAAATGAGTGGGTTTCATGTTCAAATTTAAATATTTTCATCTTTAGCTTGAGAAGCAGGGTAAGCAAATAATTCTCTCCTTAAAAGTAATAAATTCAATACAAAGTCTAGGAAGTGAGTTTGGGTAATTCATTTGACAGCAGCTATGACCCACAGGGATCCCACATTAAGACCAGCATCCTATTCTCACCCCTCATCCTAATGGCCACTTGCCCTTTTAAGCTCTTTCTTCCTTGCAGGGCAGCAACTAAGTAGATATAGCTGAACAGAGAAGCAGCAGAATCAGCCGGTGGATAAATGGCTGATTTCCTCCTCTATGCTTGACCAGCACTACTAGCTGCAATTCGTTGCCCAATGGACAGAAGCAATCTACGAGAAACATGGCAGCAGCTCAGTTACAGGACAAGCTAAACCTAAGTTTCATAATCACCTAACTTCACCACTAAGACATAGTAGAGCACCTCTAGCAGAAATTTTTGCTCTATTGTCATTAAAAAACCAAACCAAACTAACACAACTTACCTGTACTTATCTTGAACCTTTTGCTTTATATCCTGTAGAGAATCTTGGGAAATATCTCGTTCCAGGTAGCCCGAAAGCACCTCTGTGGCATTTTCTAGATCTGCTTGGTTATTCTGCAACAGGAAGAACATTATATAGTAATTTTTGTTTCAAAAAAGGACAAAACATTTTAGTTGCTTTTTTTACCTAGAGACTACTTTCAACACTGATGCCATAATTTTCATTGGTGACCAAATGGCCTCTATAGACCTGTTTATCGTTTTAAGTGCTAACAAACTATTTTTTCCAGGGCAATCTTTCATATGTAAAAGAATTAAAAGACTCATCTATAATCTTGGGAAAATTTAAAAGAATTTAAAGAGGAATAAATATCTATTGGAAGCTCCTAGTTTCGGGAGGGTTTTGCGTTAAAATTCGAAAAAAAATCTGAGGGAAAAATAGAATCCTATTTTTGCTTAGCACTTTATAAAAGATTAACATTTTCTTATCCTTACTTTGAACATAGTAATAGCCACTAACCATTTTCAACTTTTATTGAAGAATTTAGATCCACAAGAAGGAACGTACCTGGGTAGCCATTTAGTCATTATTTCATCACTAAAGAAAATTAATCACAGTGATTTCTAACAATTTGATTAAACTAAGTGCTTTAATCAACATGCCTATAGTAAGAACCTAAAGGTTCTTGAAGTTTCATGGGCTTTTGTTTGGTGAAAGACACCAATGCATGCAGGATGGTAGTATGTTTAGGACATAGCAGCTCTATACTGGGAACTCTTACATAGATTTCATTCTTTAATTTGTAACCTTACTGCTATAATAAAACTATAATGAAAAGTATAGAGCTTTCTTAGGAGTTCTTCTAGCAAATTATTGAACCACAGGAAGTAAAGGGAGCCAGCAGATTATTATTGAGGGGAAGCTCTAGGCCTTCTATGGAGGCTAGTGAGGAAATTTTGAAACTGTTGCCAGATTAGAATTCAAGATTTTGTGTGAGGACCTCAAACCTGAGACAATCTAAAGTCTTGGGCACACTTGACTGTCTAAATGACGTGTTTGTGTCCTTTACCTTCCAAGATATGACCCAGCTGTGATTTGGGAGTGGGATTTGATTTCCTAGTAGGTTTTAAAATATTTCTATTTTAAAAGCAGAAAAAGAAGTTAAATAATTTGCTCTAATCAAAAGAGCTAAAAAAGCAATGATGTCAAGATTTAAATCTAAAACACTTACTTGCTAGCAAGCTATTGGATGTAAACTGGAAAAAAATTTAGAATAAAAACTTTCAATTTTTTATTGAATAGTGTGCTTGCTTACTTAAGTTTCTCAGACATATCTTTAAATCCTTATTTATACTCTCCTTTCTATGAAAGTGGTTCTATGACATAGGATGAGTTATTTATTATCCTCACTATCTCCACCCTAACCCAGAACTATCCCTACCTCAAAGATAATGGACTGGTTATTCTTTTTGAGGTAGAAGGCGAAGACATAAGTGTACATGAGTGTGGCACGACACTGGCAGAGGACATCAACTGCTTTCTTCAAGAACTGCACTTCAATCCAGGACATGTTGTGCTGTTGCATCTCCTCCATTTTCTGCTTCACCTGAGCATATAGTTTGTGCTCAAAGCGTAGACTCTGCATGTGATTCATATAGCGGTTACAGTAGAACAGGTACCTCTGCAGGGCTGCCCTCGATCGCTGTTCCATTAAGAAAAGTAAATAGATTAGACACAAAAGCTGTTACTGTATTTATGGATGAAATAGCATAGAAACAACTGCAAGTAAGATCAGGAACAAAACAGACAATTGCTCTCTTTATTTAACATTGCACTGATTGTTCTATACCAATGCTTTCCAATACTGCAGTTTGTGTACTAACTAGTATTTAACTGCAATTTAAATGCACAAAGATGTAAAACAATAAGTACCATGAACATGTGCTGAGGCCCGAAGGGTTGCCACTGAGGTTTCTAACCAAGCCACAAACACATGAGCATGGTGGCCATCCTCTCCAGTGGCTTGCTTAGGCCATGACTACTACTGGTGTGAGTAGGGACTCTTGCCCTGCACAACCCAGCCTTGCATCCTAAAAACAGATGGTGGCTGCCTACCTGCCTGCCAGGCTTCCTACTCCTTCTTGGAACTAGGATCACACCATTCCCCTGCTACATCCAGTGGTTGGAAGGCTAGACTGCAGCAGGGGGAAATGGTCCTGTCCTGGTGACTAGCCTCCCTTCCCCAGGCCACCTGGAATCCACTTCTGGTAACAGCTTCTGTGGAAGTGCTGAGTAGCTGAGTACCCGGGGAAACCATTCAATCCTCAACCTTGTGAGGCAGCCTCTTCCTTGAAAAGATGAGCATCTCGTTCATGGCCACTGTGTTGGACTCCCCTCAGCACTTGGGACACCCCCAGACCTCTGGCAGCATGATCACCTGTGACCTGGCCCAGGGCACCATGAGGAATCAACCTGACAGCTCTGGCCCTAGGCTCCTCTTGAATGGCCACCATCACCAGAAGCATTCCTGAGGTGCTTGTCAGCGTCTCTCTGCCCCTACTGTAGACCAGGCAGGTATATTAAATGGAGAAATGGCTGGTTCTTTTTCTATCAAAAAGGCAAAACACCAAAAGGCTGCAAGAACCTAATTCTTTACTGTTCACACATGAGCTTTCCCAACATTCATAGCTGTCTTGTCAAAGCCACCCCCCCGAAAAAAAAAAATCCATAAATCAAAACACCAGCCAACAAAAAATAAGCATTAATATTTTGAAGAAGAGAATTATAGAGTTAGCTAGACATTATATATAACTCCCTTTTATTATTCAAAAAAGTAAACAGTACCACTAAATATTGTGTCTCCATCCCCTCAAGGTGAATCTCAATTTGATCAAATTTCTAGAGCAAAAATAGCAGTTTCAATACGTACAGGGATTGAAGAATCTGTTAGATGATACCATGGCATTCTAGTCAGCAAAAATTCAGAAAATGTAATATCCCAGAGGACAATGTGAACAAGTTAACTTCTCCAAATAAATGGTCTTTGGGTGTATTTGTGTGTGGAATAAGTTATAGATTAGAAATGAGGTAGAATTTGTGGATCTTTTCTAGATTCTGATTTGAATCAACTATATAAGAAAATTTATGAGACAATTAGGGATCTAGAACATATTTATGTTTTGCTCATCTCTATATTGCTTGATACTATGGTTATCTCTTTGCTAAGAAATTATAAATGTGAAACATATCTTTAGTCAGCTGCCAAATGACATCATTATATAATGGTCAATGAACTAAGATGCATGGCCCACGTAAACGGACATATAACCCTGACCTCTAAAGTTACACTTGTCTCATACCTTGGTGTCCGTAAGTGCCAGATATGCTGTTAATGCACAAAATACTTAATAAAGGTGAAACATCAGATAACAAGATAATTGGGGAGTAATGAGCCAATTACATTCCCCAGTATTGTACAATACTGAAATACTCCCACCAAAAACAAATTCAAGTTACGTTACTCCAACTCAAGGAGAAATCAAATCAATGCTTATGTACTTGTAAATTATGCCAATTCAAAATATATGTGGAAAAGAATTTGTCTGGTATTTGTGATCTCCAATACGGTTTAGTTCCAAGCTTGCCAAACTGAAACAGAAAAGCCTAAATTATATGAATATAAATGATGTTAGGGAAATTCTGATTTAATGTGACTGACAATTCTGCAACAGCTGCTTCTTGCTGGAATATCCGTAAAATTCATCAAGAATAAAGGAAACCCATACCACCAGTACAAAGAGTTAACCCCTGACTCAGCAACCCTATCTGGCATTGAGGGTTATCTGTAGTGTTAGAACTGCCAGAATTTGGATTGGAAAAAAATATCCTGAGCATACTTTTTTAGGAAAAAACCAAAGTTGACAGTCTAAACCAATTGTTATTTTTTCTATAACAGGTTAGCTGGGACATTGCCACACTCATTCACTTAAATCTAAGGGTGCTTCAGCATCACAAAGGCAGAGACAGAGTTAAGTAGTGTCAACAGCCTGTAGAGTATATACAAAGCAGAAAATATTACATGAATCGTCACAGAAAAAGTGTGCTGATTCAGTCTATGTCAGAAAATTCACATTCTGCCATTGTTATTACTGTAGAATCATATACTAGGTAAATAATTCTACAACGCACATACAGCTTTTCAATTGCCATGTAGGTTTTTAATGAATTTATTATAAACCCTCAAACACATAATTTAAACTCTCATTTAAAATCTGCAACTCCTGTAAACAGCAGAAAACAGTATGGTAGTGAAGGTAATGTGGAAAGAAATGGCCACAACAGATGTAGAATGGTGTGCCCATTCTGGAAGGTGTGGCGCTCAAAACAAAAAAATAAAAGCAAGTATTTGAGGGGGGGGAAAAGTTGTATATGGTAATTTCTCTGTAGATCTTAAAGAGACATTCTATTATCATCGCATTAAAGATCATGTCAGGCCAGGCATCAGTGGCAAATACAGTATCTGGCCAAACTGCTTTTATACTCATAACAGTCAAACCCAAAAAACAATGTTAACTAGGAAAAACAAAATGCAGCATAAGGAAAAACTCTTCTGTGAACTCAACAGAATTATCAACAAAACCAGGATATTTTAGGAAACACACAATCTCTTCAATAAAATAAAAGATGACTGAAACTGTGTAAAACAGAAAGCCTAAGACAAAAAACAAATTAAAAACCCCAACAAATGAAGAAGCAATGACAAACTGAGCTAAATGACACAGCACAATTTAAGTCCAAATGGGAGTTGGGAATGATGACCACTATTAACAAATTTTATGTTAAAATTATTTGAGATAATGTATGGATTTCATATGGGAGGCTAAAAATCACAAAAAGAGGGCTGGATAGGAGTGCCAAGTGATTTGGTTTCAACAGCAAATGGATTTAAATGTTTACTATTTTAAAAAGGTTATTAAAATTCTGGTAATAGTGAAAAAATTACAAACATTGAATGAATGCCTTACAACTGACAATAAATATTAATAAAAAAAAATTTCATTTCAGAGGTTATACATGTGGAATGGATAAAAATGGCATCCAACAGCACTACTTTAAATATTGCACACTAATGAGAAAAATATTGCCTATAAATAGCAGCAGTACTGTTTAATAAATGCTACTCTCTACTTTGCTTGGGGAAGAAAAAAAAAATTGATACCAAGATTCTACTGAAGCCTGAGGTTGCACTACATGAATAGATTAACTAAAACAAAGCAAACAAATTTATAAATAAAAATGCTCCCTTTGCAAATGTTAACAGACTCCCAGTATGTTCCTGGATCTCTCTTTTCAAATCTTTCAGAGTAAAGAGCTAAATTATTCCCTAATGAAGGTACAATGAGTTTCTACTCAACTCTCAGCAGAAAACAGAGGTACTTACCTCCTGCGCATCTCGTGCTGCCTTTGCATCATCCTCATTATAGCGGTTACAGTTGTACCTTAAAGTAAATTTAGAGACTGTCATAAACAATGTGGTTGCTATGTGCTGTCGAATCAAAAATGACCCTCACACTGACCCTTTCAAAGGCTGTTAAATGGCTCATCTCACAAAGCAACTGTCAGAAATAAATAGCCTGCCCGTGGGTTGGTAGTACATTTCCTTATCCACTATGCCACCAGCACTCCCTGATCATAAATAATATATAACAAAACATAGCTTTAACCCAGATTTAGAGATCTTTTAGAGCCAACATTCGCCTTTATGCAAACGGAGATGTTAAAACTGCCAAAGGTTCTATGGTTATGACAAAATTACTCAGTTTAAAGAAATACAAAATGTTGGCTAAATATAATCTACGTCTTGTTTGAATACTTTCTATAATATGAAACTGTTACTCTTCTCCAGTGGCATTCTATTCTCTATCAACTTCCAAATTCTGACTCCCTGCAATCCCCTATCAGGTTTTTGCGGCCACACATTTTTAAGATTGCTTCATGTTTCTCTCAAGGAACAACTAATGGATTAAAACAATACACAAATCACTAGGTAACACTGGCATTCTAAACTGTACTTGCTATAGCCTAAACTTTTCACTTTTTATAAACAGAAATCATCTCATAATTAGGTCTTCTCTTACTTAAATACTCTCAATACTCACCATTTTGATCTGTTTCTTACAAGCAGAAGAGAGCCAAAAGACAACTCCTATATACTCAAATACTATTATGTTTGCAAGAATTATTTAAGACAGAATGACATACACAATGGAGAATGGAGAGGAATCACACCCAAAGCAGCATGTGTGAAACGATTCACTTGTTCTTTTGTGAGAATTTTCATTATGTGACTAGTTTATACTTAGTAAGTAGTTAAAATATACTTACTAAAAACATTAACTGTCCTTTCATATGTAATCTCCTTAACCACTTTAAGAAAGAAACATTATTTTTCTCAAAAAAAAAAAAAGAAACATTATTTTTCTCATTGATCAGTTGAAGAATTAGATTAAGATATGATAAACACCATCCTTAAATTCAACACAGGTGATTTCTCAGCTAGTTCTGACAACTAAGGTTCATGTTCTTAACCAATGAATACAGTAATCGGGTCACTAAGTCGTATTTTCAGAATCTTTTAACTTTTTTTCAATGCGAAGGAAAAAATCTAAATATACTTTAAATCTTAAATAAGCCACTACTTCAGTTTATCAAGTTCTTTAGGATTTTAATGGCCATTAAACATTCCTCTTTACTGTTAGGCAAAATGTATGCAAGCCATCTATTATGTCAAGACTAGGAAATTGGCATATAATGTTTAATGTATGAACAAAAAGAATAAGGACAAAGGATTAGGCAGAGCATATGACAAGTGCTTAAAGCTATTCTCAAAGATAAATATTCTATTTATCTGTATCCCTCAAAAAGGTCATTAAATAAATTCCAAATATCCCTTTCCTGTATCCAAAATCTAGGCCATCAACTTTAGTCCATTTTGAAAAATGTTGCTGAAATCTAAGAGTCCATGATCTTTATATCTTTTAATTAAGAGGTCAATTAAGTTCTATGGTCCATATATAGTTTGTGGATTAAATCACAAATTTTGGAGATTTGCCTCTTGGTATTTTCTATTACTACTCAGAAATAATCAACATTGATTCAGTGATCTCCAAGGATTTTTGTTGTTAGAAATTACTTTCTACGTATATAATTCAGTAACAATTACATTAGTCATGCGATCATAACTTACATTTAAGTTTTTCAAAGTATCTCAGACCACACTTCAACTATGTCAGGGTTGGTATTCATTTCCCCTCAGCTAAAGTTCTTTCTCACCTATAAGTTCTACTTTGCTACCTAGGCCAATAACAACTCTAATAGACAGAAACTGTTACCTTGCATATCTTTCTCCTAAGTAATAAATCCTTACTTCTTGGTATTTTTAAAATTTTCAATTGCTTAATATATATGTAAAAGTTAGACAATGAATAAGGTTGACAAAAAAACTCTTAGGTTTCTGACATGAGGTATTGGAGGGGGGAAAAACCCCCGAACTATTACAGACTACAGATTTCCAAAACAACAAACAAATCTGTCTTGAAGAAGTACAGCCAAAGTACTTCTGAAAACCAAGAATGATGGATGAGCCTTTGTCTCACAGACTTGGCATATTATCAGGAGGGGCCAGTATTTTTGGTTCTCCAAGAGATGAGCTGATACAGTGACTACAATAAGAAGCACAGCAGAAGACCGAGGCTAGTGCAAGATGAGGTAAGATTTTGTTCTGTTGTACACAGGGTCACCATTTGAAATTAAGAGTTGACTCAATGGCACCAAACCCTTGATGTATTATTTTATTATTATTATTATTATTATAGGCTTCATTCTTGCCAAAATGATTAAGAACGTAAATGGCCCTTGGAGAGATACATCATTCTTGGGAGGGTGGAGGGACAGCGCAGGAGAGGAAGGCTGTTGATGAGATGGACTGATTCAGTCACTAGGGCCACAAGAGTAGGTGTGTCAGAGACAATAAGGCTGGCACAGGACAGAGCAGGATTTAGGGCTCTTGTACATAGGGTTGCTATGAGTTGCAAGTGACTTGACGGCATGTAACAACAACAATGAAAGTAAATATAATTCATGTATACTTCTAATTCAAATGAGATAGTGCTACTTGAGATGCAGTTTTATGGACTCAGACATTTTAAAGTACTGGAAGGAAATAATGCCATGATTCACTTGCATTAGTATCAGCCTTAGGTAAAGGCAAGACAGAAGCAGTGTATCCAACACCAAGGGCCCATGTCATTCTACTATAGCCATCATTTGTTAGGTACATTTTAAAGTTTCTGAAGCAGTTATCTGAATAATAAGTTTTCTAACATTTTGTTAGTCTCTCACAAATCACACTTCTTTCTTGCTTCCCGTGTCACTTATCTTGTTTATATAGGGTGAATTTTGTGTCCAGGAAACTTCCAACACTTTGGACTATTCTTAAAATCTATGGTACTTGGCAGTCTAAACGCCAAATAACCTTTGGCTCTAATGGTGCAACAGTCAATTTTTTTATTACCACTTACCCAATCAATTTTTATGTGTTCAGGATAAATTTCAGAGAAATGTTCCCTCTTACTATTCTTTTAGAAGAATCTACACAATAAAACTAAAAGGAAGATATGTCATTTCCTTAAATTCAGATCCTCTTCACCTATGTACAATCTACAAATCTTTTCCCTACCCACCCACTCTCTACAAAGTAGTGCTGCCACTCAGTTTTAGGTTATCAAACAAGAAGGTCCAGTTACCAAGTTCTAAAGAGAGGCTAAAAACCTATATTGGCAGTCAGGTTGATGAGAAGGAATTTCCAATTTTAGGACAGAAGTTTTGTCTAAGTGATAAATATCCAGGGTAAATAAAGCACATAAAGTGTTGTGTTTTTTGCACAGAATGTAAGGTTTCAACTTCTGCCTAGAAAGTACCCATCTTGTGCCTGTGTTCATGCTGCTTCTTTCTCCCTGCATGAACTCAGTGCTATTTACAACAGTTCAATTGTTAACCTCCTATGTGAAATACAGTTAATTAACCCCTATTTCCACAAAACTTTCATATACCTAACAATGACCACATTCCATATTCATTTTCCTGTCTCACAAGTTGGATGGTGATCTTTATGAGGTATTTGTACAACTCAGAACATAAAAACTCAACTCACTGTTGTCAAGTCAGATCTGATACAGCTGAGACTCCAGTCAGTTTTTGGAGGCATTAACCTGCACGGGAGATCTTACTACTCACAAGGACTGGCAGGTGGATTCAAACTACTAGAGAGTAGTTCTTTGGGTTAGCAGAACAACTCCCTACACACCCACTACCCACTACAATGCTAGAGCTCCCCGAATCAGCACATACTTTTGTAAACATATTTTCCCCTTCATTTCCCCAACCTACCAGGCAGATCCATGTGGTTCCCAAGGGCCAAGACACACCCAGCAAAACTCTGCTTTACAATTCTGGTTACGACAGACCATGTGATTACAACCGCCATCCTTCTCAATTGTGACATGGCATTTGGGACATTCCTATGAAGAGAAACTATAAAGTTGGTGTCAATGCTACACTAGGTTGTACTTCTACCACCATGGAAAAGCTAGTTCTAGATTGGATTTATTTTCATATACCAATACTGTGTAAATACACGTAAAACATTTAGAAAACTACCCAACATGTAATAATGACTATAAAGAAAATAATATTAAATAATATTTTTTATAAATTTTAAGATCTTAAGTGTGCCTGATTCAGGCCATAGTCTTTCCAAATACTAGCTATGCATCCAAGACTTGGACAATGAATAAGGATGACAGAAAAAGAATTGACACCTTTGAGCAGTGGTGTTGGAGAAGAGCACTGAACCTTCCATGGATGGCCAAGAAAAAGAACAGATATGTCTTGGAGAGGGTGCAGCAGCCAGGGAGCTCTTTGGAGGCAAGAATGAATGATGAGGCTTTGCCTCACATACTTTGGACATATTGTTAGGTGGTGCTATTCCTTGGAGAGGGGATATGATGTTGGGAAGGGTGGAGGGTTGGCAAGGGAGAGGAAGACCTTCAACTAGGTGAACTGACAGGGTGACTGCTGCAATGGGTTCTTGTGTGTAAGTGTGAGGATGGTGCGAGACAAGACTGGGTTCAGATCTTTTGTTACAGGGTTGCAATGAGTTGTACTCAACTCAATGACACGTAACAACAACAATAACAACATCTTTTAATCAAAGATGTAGGAAAATTAGTACTTTTTAAAAAATTGTAAGAGCTTTTTATCATATATGTTAATAATAGTAATTTCACAGGGGTAAAATATTTTGTTTATCCAGAGAGACTTCTAGATATGCCATGTGTTTATATGCATTAACTCATAATACAGATTTAGTGTGGTACTATTCCTATTTATCAAGTGAATAAATTAAAGTGAAGAGAAGTAATGAAATTAAGTCTAAAGCCATACAGGTATAAGATTATTTAAGAAATATGGATTCAAGAGCTAGGTAAACAAGAAATCAGGCCTTGATTGGCAAACTCTTCCTGTGTCTATCAAACTTCTCTTCCAATCATCTTCTAATAAACTACATTTTAAATTTTTACCATGGCTGGCTCACAATCAAAGTAGAGAAATACGGTTAGGTTAGATTAATTTCTCTAAGTCCTTAATATTTCTGTGATAGCAGATGAGTAAAAATTATTGTCTTTTAGGCAATCTTCCCCCCATCATTCTGAAACCTCTAAATGAAAATTACTTTTGTTAAAATTATAGCATATGTCACTGAGTCAAATGACTCACAGTCACCCTATTAACAGATCTGAACACTGCCTCGCATTATCATCTAGAGCATATTACTCTATATAAGGCAATTTACTATTCAACATATAAATAAAAGGAATAAGTTCTTTTAAATAAATTAAAACACGAATAAGGTGCTTATTTTATAGTAATCAATTTGGAAATAGTGTGCCTTTGAGTCGGAACAACTCAGAGATGAGCCTCCAGCAGGTCTTCAGAGGCTATAAATGGCACAGGAAGAGACTGCCCATCCTTCTCCCTTGGAGCACTTGATGGATGCAAATCATGTGCCTTTGGGTTGGTAGCACTCCTTACCACTAGGCTACCAAAGCTCCTTTTGCATTTAACTACGTGCAGTTAAAATGTTTGCCAATAAACCTAATCATAGCTGTTTCATTAGCAATAGTTGCTGAAGGTAAACACCAACCTTTGTGTTGGCTGCAATCCAATTGGAGGTTTCACTGTCATCATCACACTTTTTAATCCATTTCTTTAACCACTGTTTGAAAACAACAACTGTTAGGGTACAATAAAAGGCTTCAGAAAAGAGGATGGCAAATTACATCATTATTTAACTGGAAGTTTAAACATAAAACCAAAATCTTTTTACATTTAAAAAAAGAGATTATCATTGGCTTATTCCTCTTGAAACAGGCTTATTCTAGACTTCTCAGACACAATATATACTAACTTAACATTTTCTCTGTCCAAAACGGAATGGCAACCAATACTTGAAGAGAAGCCCAGCCTCAAGGTTTATTTACTTTCTTCTAATTATATGACCTATCACAGGAGTGATTTACTGATGGTTACTTTCATAACCTGAAGCTTGAAGTATTATTTTTGTTTATCCTTAATATTATTCTTTGAATATTTATTAAGACCATTAAAAATAAACAGAAACCTTGCCCATATCATTAGATGGGTGTAATTTTTGTCATTAAGTCACAGAAATGTTCCACAATAATATAAAATTGAACTATCAGAAAAACTCACCTTACATTTAACAGGATCATGCCAATTTTCTCCACAGTTAAAGCTGTTAAGTGACAAAGAGTTAAAAGAATTAAGCGCTAACTGCTTTAAGTAAATAAAATAAAACCTACCATTTTCATGCTTTTTATTTTCACAAATTTCTGTTGTTTGACTGCTGTAGATGTGGCAATGACTCATAATTACCCAGCGCACATTATTAGGATTGAACACTGTGGTCCACATGGTCTATATTATTCACTGGCTAACTTTCCAGAAGTAGATTTCTGGGCCTCTCTTATTAGTCTATCAACATTACTGAAACCTATTCAGCATCAAGCCAACACATAAGCCTCCACTGAGAGATGGATGGAGGCTGTGCAATGACTAGGAATCAAACCTTGGTCTCCCAAATGCAAGGCATGAACTCTAGCAGCAAACTCCAATCCATTTTAAGCAACTGGTAAAAACAAGGGGAACTCTGGTGGCCTAGTGTATGAGAAGTTGCAATGTTAACCCAAAAGTCAGGCAGTTTGAATCCACTAGCTGCTTCTTGGTTGGGAAAGATAGGTAATCTCTTCCCACGTGATTTACACCTTTGAAAACAAGCTATGGGGAAACTTTTTCTACAGTAAAATTCATAAAATTTAGTACTGTGAAAATAGTGGAAACTCAATGTTTGTGGAATGATTATAAAAGGTATCTGAAAAAAATTTTCCTATTAAGTGATTATTATGAAATTGTTATAAAAACCTAATAAATTATCTAAAAAGTTAAACTGTTAAATCTCAAAAAGTCAAGTTATCTAGACTTGTATTTTTGTAATAGTTTATATATTTGTAGTATTTCCTGCAACTACTCTAACTGAAAACAAATTGAAATTATTTTCATTAATTTGATAATTAATGCTAAAGTGTCTCGGAGGGTATTTACAAGCCATAATCCAACCAATTTATCACCAGTGCATTTTAAATCGAGCTTGATTTCAGAGTGATTACACAGTTTAACAGAAATGCAAAGTAAACTATGTGAAAACAAAAACTATGTGAAAAACAAATAAATAGACATGGTACTATTCAAGATTCAAAAACTTGAACTCATTGCCTTTCAGTCAGAACTGACTGACAGCTGATTATCTAGCAAGATTCTGGTGGCTAACTTGATACATTGCACGCAAGGAAACTGTCCATCAAGCTCTCTCTCTGAAACAAAGGGGGATTAGAACTTTCAGAGAGGTACCTATTTTGAGTCAGAGCGCAACTCCTTCTAGATTATCCCACCAGAATTCCTTGTAATATAAGGTACTATATTACCTAACTGAGCAGGGGTGAGGGAAGGACTGAATGTTCCCCTAATTAAAAACCAAACTAATTGCCAAAAAGTCAATTCTTTTCCAAGGCAATCTCAAGTGTGCCAAATAAACTATTCTGTAGTAGAACATTTCCACTGAAACATATCACAATGCCTATCTTCCCAAGCATCTCTAGGTAGGTTAGTAAAACACATAATTATTTACATCATCCATGCATTCCTCTAAATAATTTAGGAATGCAAAAAAGTCTTTACACAAAGGACAAACTACTGCTATAATAAAAGTCCTGATAATGGTTACTTCTAGGAAGAAAGATGGGGAAAGGATAAAGCAGTAGACTTCAATCTCACGTATTTTTATTTACCAAAACAAAGTCATATATTCAAATTTACAATAAACTATTGACACGATAGAAGGCATAAATATCTTTAATCTCAGTGAGTTTATCGGTCCTTTAGGGACTATTTATTACAAATTATATTTCATTTTAGATGTCTAGAGATACAAGAAACCAAACAGACATAGAATACCCTTAAAATGCACTAATTTTGGATTGCTGGATACTCACTCTAAGAGGATGACAAAGAAATGAAAGATCTAACTTCTTAATACGTAGAATCTTTGCAATGTTATCCATAATTTATGATCTACACAGTCAAATGTATAATCAATCTTTCTGGTATTCTCTGCTTTCACCCCAAATGCATCTGACATGAGACGTCAGAGCCCTCTTTTCAAAGCTCCTTCTGAATTTAATTTTAAATTTCTGGCAGCTTCCTGTTGTTGTATACTTTAAATATTTTAATTCATGTGATATGGAAGACATCAGTTTATAACTTTCATATTCTGCTGGACCACCTTTTTATGGGAATGAGAATATGGATCTCTTACAGCTGTTTAGGTAGTTTTCTTGAAAACTTTTTAGCACAGGCTGGTGAGCATATCCAGGGCTGCATCTGTTTGTTGAAATATATCCATTGGTATTCCATCAATTCTGGGGCCTTATTTTTTGCCAATGTCTTCAAAGTAGCTTGAATGTCTTCCTTCAGTACCACTGGTTTTTCACCACATGCTACTTCCTAGTAGTTCAGTGCCCACCAATTTATTTTTTTTGTACATTATATATTTCTTCCATCTTCTTTTAACACTTCCTGCATTATTAAAGATTTTGCAAAATGAATCCTTCCCTATTGCAACTTGAGGCTTCAATTTGTTCATTTCTTTCTGGTTAAGATGACATTTGACTGCCTGTATCACAACAAACACTGGGAAGAAAGGGTATCCCAGAATACTTATTTATGTTCATGTACAATGTATCCATAGACCAAGAAGGAGTTGTCCTAACAGAACAAAGGAATATTGTATAGTTTAAAATCAGGAAAGGATGTAAGTTTAAAGAAGAGGACTCAATCCAAGAAAAGTTCTTTTCAATTGCTTCCTGTGTATCTGAATTTTGGGTTAAAAAAGAAGATAGACATTTTATGACTGAACTGTGGTGTTACTGAAAAAGCATTCAACTGTGAAAAGAAAAAAACCCCCACAAATGTCTTAAAAGAAGATCGGTAGGCCTTAAAGAGAAGGATAGTGAAACATCATCTTATGTTGGGCAAGCTGTTACAAAAAGACCAGCCCTTGGAAAAAGAAATTATATTACAAATGGTCAGTACAAGAGAGGAAGACCCTCAACAAGATGGCTATAACAATGGGCTTAAAGCACAGCAAAGATAATAAGGCAAGATTTGTTGTTCAGAGGGTTGTTATGAGTACAAGGTAACTTGAGGATATACCAACAATATGTAAACATATCTTAGAATTAAAAAAACAGAATTCAAAGTCTGTGGAATATGTTTTTATAGGACATGAAGGGCCCAGGTTACCAAGAACAATGGGGCAGAAAAGGCATTAGAGAATTTTTATAATAAAGCACTTAATTAACGATGTTATAACTTTCCAAATTTATTAATATACTTTCTTTTTAGAAACTAAGAGTAAACCTAGCAGATGAAAGACATTATTTGAAAAATAATTCGTATTTCATTTGCCAAAATAAATTCATGTAGTATGACAGAATAATCAACAAACCAGAAAGGAGGAGGATAGAGTTCTTGTCTCAGATCTTTAAATTGTTCCATATAATTTATAGAAAGATGATTTTAATGGCCTTTTTTCTTCATAAGAAAATACATTTAAAAGTCAAGGGCAACAAGGAGAAAATCTGTGTAAGACATAGCTTTTACACAGGTGAAATATTTATTTTATTTAAGAACAATAAATGACATAGTTGAGTCTCTACGATCTTGTGGTTCCTAACCTTTATACTATAATAGACAAAGTGACAGTCAATAGGCCTTTTATTTTAAGAACCACCTTCCCTCTGTAACTTGATTTGTGCCACTATTAAGAACCTCTACTTGGAATACTATTGCTTTTTAATTTTTGACTCATGTACTTTTAACTTGTTAAATTTGTGTCTTCTAGGCTGCAACAGTCCCATGATACATCTTCAAGGATATGAACATGTACGGCTAAGCACAATGATAACAGTGCATATAAATTCCAAAATCAATCTCCACAATAGTCTATGTGTTTCCTACTGCCAAAGGGGCCCTTCAGAGTAGTGAGAGAAGACATTTACCCTGAAACCCACAGCGTCCCTTTTCAGCAGGAAGTAGCTAAGAGAATACGCCGTCCCCTTTTCCTTATGAATCAGGGTGAAGTCTCTCTCAGGGAGGAGGGAAAGGGAATGGCAAAGGATACACTGACAAAGGAGATTAATCAGAACTGGCTTTGACAAGAACTGTGGCAATGGGACAACTAAAACACTTTCGGGGGGGAGAGGAACGAACTGGGGGGGTAGAGAAAATAGTGCAACAATGAATGAATGGAAACCCAAAATCTCTGTAAATGCTTATTAAAATTAATAGAATTTAATAAAAAAATTTATTTTGAAAAATTACAGCAGAGCATATACAAATTCAATAATTTCTACATGTCTAATTCAGGGAAACGAATGTCCTACAATTCTCATTTAAATCTACACTCTAATAAAACCATATCTGTATATATCACTTACTTGCATAAAGCAAACTTTTCTCAACCACTATTTTGCTACCAAGAAAAAGAAGAAGCAACAGAGAAACTATTGTGAACTATTCTAATTTAGAAAATCACTTGCTTACCAAAACTGGCGCCCACATTTGCAGCGAACAGGTTTAGCATCAGGATATTGGACTTTAACAACATGGTGGCAATCTGGGGCAGGACACCACTTTAACAGTCGATTGCACTGAAATAAAAATTGGAAAATAAAAATGACCAAAAATATCATGATGCAAATAATTCTGATTCACAGGACATCAAAGAGTTCTTTTACATTACCTCCAATGCAACATGCAGGATCTTGCAGGAATATAAGGGAATGATTTTAACACAAATATAAAAGCATGCCAACAAAACCAAGTCTTTGACAGCAGTGATTTTGGGTGCATTATTTCTAAAGATTATACCTATCGTAAAGATATGGTTTTATAAAATAAATAAAAAGAGTCTCTCCCATTCTAAATTCAAAATGTCACAAAGAAATTTCAAGATAATTATCAATTATGTGATGATTAATGATTATTAATTTATGGTTCTAGTTCAGGCCAATTTTCGTAAGATACAAGAAGCCAGATATGCTTCTAATTAGAAGATGCTAAAAATCCAGGCTGAGGCCAAGTAAAGGGCTATATAGGAAATTTCTTACGTCATAGGCCAAAAACCAGCATTTTAGTGTCACAGAAAGAAACTCAAATTTTGAAGTATTTTTTGTTATGCAATCAAATGTGACTGTACTAATACTGATACAGAACTTAATAAATTCACCTGATGGAATACTACACAGTATTCAAGAGCGCAATGATTTTGAAAATTACTACATAACGTGGGAGAAACTGGAGAGCATTATGCTGACTTAACTCACTCAAGTCTCATAAGAAACAAATACTGCATAAGACTGTTACTGTAGAAATAGAAAGGTAACTAGTAAAATCTGTATGAGGATCCAAGGAAGGGAGAGTGGGAACAAAGGTGAGGAAAGGCAGAGGAGAAATTTCAGGGTCTCACAATTTTATGGGTGGAAGGTGTGGGAATAAAGAAATGGGAAAGATCTGGCGGGGATCTGAAAAGAAAGGTTGACAGACGTGGGTATAGTGCAAAGGTGATTAATTTTATAAAACAATGAGAATGATTTAATGAAAAACAATGTATATGAATTCTGTAAGCAAACAAACCAATAAAGATTAACATGCTCTTGCTTGCTGTTAAAAAAGTTTGGAAAATGATTAAAGATTCTGTATCTTTGTTTATATGCCTGTTTGGAGGGCAAACACGAACCTAATAATAATAATATACATAAAATAAAATTGATTGAATGCAATCAAATTTGTAATTCTACAAAGTAGTAAAACAAAGCTGTAACTCTCTAAATACGTGAGAATGATGTCTTATGGAGATTTTATTTTTTAAAAAAAGCCCATGGTGTATCTAAAAATCAAGACCAAAAAAAAACCCCTCAAAAAATAATTATGTCAAATATGCCTATCTGATCTTCAGTTTAATCCTTAACTAAAAATAACTTTCTAGAATTATCGTGTTATACTTATGCGCTGAAACATAGACTAGTGTGTGTATTTTTTTTTTCAGTAAAGAGTAGACAATAGACTTCCCAACCTCCTTGGTAGCAATTACTCAACATCATCACTGTAATGCAAATGAAGCCATAGAAGCAAAGGGCATAAGTGGATTCCAGGAAAAAAACTGTTTACAAAATCAGGCAGTTTGCCAATTTCTGCTCTTTTTAATTTTTTTAAAAATAAGGACAACCAAAAAGAAATCCAAACAAGTAACTATGTTGAATGTTTAATTATTTTTTTTTAACATTTATTGTATTATTTTTACGTGTACCGTCAAATCAGATCTGACTGGTACAGGAGGAGATTGCCCCCTCCTTCTCCAGCAGAGCATCTGGTAGATTTGAACCGTGTACCTCTGGGATTGAAGTGCACCGTCTTGCCACTAGGCCACCAGAGCTCCCTGAATGTTTAATGGCAAAGCAAGCTAAAACAAGCAGAGATAGGAGATAGACTACTAAACATGACTATGCTTGAAATGACTGCTTAATGATCCACTAGGAATAAAAGATGAATACTAGAGAAAGAATTTGATTATTAAAGTTTCAGAAGAAAGAGCTACTTTGTAGTTTGCCATATTCCTTTGGGAATAAAATGTGCTGCTATGCTTCATAAACAAAAGCCCTAATTCACGTGCAAAGTAGAGATGCTTCTTACTGTCTAGGTTGTATAAGAAAACTAATAATTTGGATGAACAATCTGGAATGGAAAAAAAAAAGTCACTTACCTCTACAAAGCTATTCGTTATTAAATGCTGATACTTTAGTTTAACTTTTGAATCTGTGATCAGGCGCCTAAAAGCAAAGAACAAAAATTGCTTGTTAGACACCACAACAAGATAAAGGTAAACAATCCAATTGAGAAATGGGCACAGGATATGAACAGACACTTCACCAAAGAAGTCATTCAGATGGCCAACAAGCTCTTGAAGAAATGTTCAAAATCCCTAGTTCTAAGAGAGATGCAAATCAAAACAACTATGAGATATCATCTCATTCCAGGCAGAATAGCAAAATTTAACAGAACAGCAAGCAACAAACGCTGGCGAGGTTGTGGAGAAACTGGAACCCTTATTCACTGCTGGTTGGGAGTGTAAAATGGTACAACCACTGCGGAAGGTGTTGTGGCGCTTTCTCAAAAAGTTGCAAATAGAGATTTGACCCAGCCATTCCATTACTGGAAATATACCCTAAAGAGACCATAACTGACATCCAAGCAGATATATGCACACCCATGTTTATCGTGGCTGTTCACAATAGCAGGGAGTTGGAAACAACCTAAGTGCCAATCAACAAACGAAGAGAAAGAGAACCTGTGGTATATTCACACAATGGAATACTCATGCAATATTATTCAAAATGGGTGACCCTGGAGGACATTATGCTGAGTGAAATAGCTCAGTCACACAGGGAAAAATACTGCACAGTGCCACTGTTGTAAACAGGATTGACACTGGGGTTTGGGGAGGATTGAGAGAGATGGGATAAATGATGTATACTGCATGGAAACAGAAGAGAGAGAAAACTGTTTTAAACGGCTATATGATTAGGTATTAATGTCATGACAGAAGTCCAGAACGAAGCCTGCATAGTAGAGTGGACCTGGGGGGATGGATTATAAAACAATGAAAGAATTTTTCTTTTCTTTATTCAAAGAGAAGAAGGAACTAGGGGGGGACAGGGAGAAAAGTACAACAATAATGAATGGAAATCCAAAGTGTCTGTAAATTGCCATTAAAATTAATAATAAAAAATTGCTTTAAAAAGAGAAAAAAAATCACTTGTTAGAAAGTTTTTATCCAGTTACCACATTTTTAAAGTATAATTTTGAAAAACATTTCGAATGCCTATGAAACTGCCCTAAATGGAAAATAGAAGCATGTTATTAACAAATCGAAATGCACTAACCAAAACAGCAATTTCTAAGTTTCTATCATTTTATATTGATCATCTTAGCCCATGTTTCTAGTATTCTAAACAAATTCTATTTTTATGCAGTTAGCACTACAGTTTAATTATTTGTCAACACTGCCAAGGTAAGGTCCAGTTTCAAGAGTCTTACTATGACATCTTGCCCAAAGGGATGACACCCCTACGAAGTGTATAACATGAAAGAGCTATTTGTGATAGTTTCTGAGAGCCTTTTCCAAGAGTGCTTTTAGCAATTTACCAGAAATGTTCTGACTACGATCTCATTTACCTTATCTGTCTAGAATACTTTATGATTCACAACAATTTCTGCAACTCATAAAAGCCTATGGAAGTGAGGACCCTTGAATCTTGATATGTCGTCGAGTCACCTCCAAATCATAGCAATCCTATGTACAACAGCCCTAAGCCCTGCTCTATCCTGTGACAATCTCACTGTCTCCAACACACCTACCCCAATTATCCTAGCCACTGACTCAATCCACCTCTTCTCC